TCCCAGAGTACCCCATACCCACAAAGTGCGTAGCGTAGGTCCATCGATCGAGAGATGTAGTTACAGTATCAATTATATATATATATATATATATATATATATATATATATTATTCCTAGCTAACGCTGCGTACGCAGGTGCAAGGACGAGGTGAACCCTCCGGTGATAGGATACAAGTTCACGAACCAGCGGCTCAAGGATCTGGGGATGGACTTTGTGCCGGTGCTGCAGTGCCTCTACGAGACAGTGAAGAGCCTCCAGGAGAAAGGCATGCTGCCCGTGCTTCCGCCAAAAGACGACCAGGACCAACTCCACAAATCATGATTATTCCAACGCTGATACTGCTACCACATATATCATATTATATATATAAGCTTAAGCTATATATAGCGGATTGATATAATTAACCTTTTTATCCACAATATACATAAATGATGTACGCGTGGCAACTTTAATTGGTGCATGCTTTCCTGCCGGGTGCCACCGACCCATGCATATACCAGTGCTGGATGACGCACACATGCAATATATCTCTTTGGACAGTTTATCTAGAAAATAATACTCCGTGTGTTGTAAAATAGATCATCTATATATTCTGAGCAATAGTTATTATGTGGGCACCTTATTTACCTGGTAGACAAATGCATGCAGGTATATGGATGGCAAAATTGGGTGCAGCCATCAAATCACGTTTGCGTTTCATACCAAACTAAGATGAAGCAGATTCTCAAAAGAAAAACAAACTAAAAAATTAAAATGAAGCAGCTTTCCAAAACTTTTATGATCCCACACTCAAACATATTATAAGACATTTTGGCATTTCTAGAATCATAGCTTTCACTTTATATCTAGACATAACATATATCTAAGTGCGTATATATCTAAGTGCGTAGTAAAAATTAATCAAGAAAACCAAGATGTTTTATAATTTGGAATGGAGGGAGTAGTATATATATGAACAAATACCAGTAGATAACAAATTTGTAGAGACAACTACATACTAGTACTTAAAAGCCAAACAGTGCCGGTTCCAAAAGCCTATCATTGCCGACTTTTGATCTAGCAATACATAGTCCGCAGTGTTGGTGCAGGGATACCACTGCTGGTGCTACAACTTGTAATGATGACCATTTAAAAAGAAAAAAAAACTCAGTCTGCTCGCTGCCATTACACGACAGGGCGCACTCACACCTCCGCGTCTGGGACACCTACCCGCCATGCCATCCACCAAGCCACTTGCAGAGCCTATCCCACCCGTACGGGCGAGTGGCATGTCAAGCTGTCGGGGAGAGACACAACTACAAAAGAATTTGTAGCAATGCCTCCATTCTTTCTTTCTTTTTTGTTTAGGGATTGAGCCGCCCAACAAATGGCTCCCACAATGAGCTGCCCCTATATTACAGGAGATGCTAGTGTTATCAGCTTTCCTTACCAATAGACGCTAAATAGAAAAAATTAAGTACTAAAATTTAAAAATTTTAAATAACCTCGGATAAAGAAATAACCAAAATAAAAATTATAGATCTCGAAAAGTTATAGAACTTTATAGTTGATAACTTTTTTATTTGAAATCATTTTGTCAAGAAAAACTATGTTTCAATTTCTCAAATTTGGAATTTAAATTTTTCAACGACTTCGAATGAAAAAACAACCAAAACAAAAGTTGTAAATCCCATAAAGTTATACAACTTTATAGTTGACAACTTTTTCATTTGAAATCATCTTGTGAAAAAAAACTACGTTTGAATTTTACATTTGAAATTTAAATTTTTCATATGACCACAAATGGAGAAACAACAAAAACAAAAGTTATAGATCTCGAAATGTTACACAACTTTGTAGTTGATAACTTTTTATTTTATATCATATAGTTAAGGATAATTACGTCTAAATTTTTAACATTTGAAATTCAAAATTTTTAAACACCTTTGATGGAGAAACAACAAAAACGAAAGTTATAGATCTTGTAAAGTTATGGAACTTTATAGTTGACAGCTTTTCCATTTGAATTCATTTAAACTCCGAAACACTCACTTCAAGTTTGGTTCAGCATAATGAGTAGAAAGAATATGTATCTCAGCTAGATCTTGCCTAGCTTTCACATTGTCTTTGGTCTTTTCAGTGTCAAAGCATGTGTTCCAAATAGCTTCAGCAACATTTTTCTCATTGTGCATCAGGTCAATATTGTGTGGGAGCTTCAACTTCGAAAAGTATGGAAGTTGCCTAAAACAGCTCAAAAAAGTCCAATTGTGCAGTTTACCAAAGTTTTCTGTATCAGCTACAAACTTTTGCACATGGGCTTGCACTTCCTCCCCCGACAAGCGTCTAGGTGGCTCCTCAAGCACCTTAGTGTTCTTGCGAAATGCATTAGCTTGATTTCTAAATGGATGATTTTGAGGAAGGAAGCGTCTATGATAATCAAACCAACAAGGCTTATGACCATGACGGAGTTGAAAGCCTTTACAGCCATATCCACAGGGACATGCCAATCTGCCATGTGTGCTCCATTCAGAGAAATCTCCATAACCAAGGAAATCATGTACTAACCAAAGATAAGCTGCCCTCATTGGAAAGCGCCGCTTGAGTGAAGCATCCAATGTATCAACACCCACCCATAATGTTTGAAGCTCATCAACTAAGGGCTGCATTAAAACATTCAGTTTTCTACCAGGATGCTCTGGACCAGGGACAACAAGAGCAAGAAAAATATACTCAGGTCTCAAAAGTATGCCTCGAGGTAGATTTAGTGGAGCAACAAAGACTGGCTAACATGAATATGAAGCAGCATTCATACTAAATGGTGTGAAACCATCAGTAGCAATAACCTGTCGCACATTTCTAGAATCCCTTGCAAAATCTGGATATTCTGCATCAAATTCCTGCCAAGCTTCTCCATCGCAAGGATGGACCATTTTACCTAAAGTGTTGCGGCTGTGTGACCTCATTAGCTTTGATGTTTCCTCGTGTGCATACAACCTTTGGAGTCTATCTGTGATAGGAAGGTAACGCAAAACTTTGCGTAGAGCTTTGTTTCCACCTTCCTCATAGCGATTGGCATGACAATAGTCACATATTTCTTTATTCGCGTTATCTTTGTAGAAAAGCATACAATTGTTATAGCACACATCTATTTTAATACAAGGCATCCCAAGACCATCTAACATTTATTTTTGATTGGTAGAAGTCCCTTGGCAACTTAGAATCTGGAGGAAGGAGTTCATGGATTATATCTACCACATCATTATAATGGCCAATTGACATATTGTACATTGACTTCAGCGCAAGCAAGCGAGCTATAGCAGAAAGACATGAGTGGGTAGTTTTTTCATGCACCATTTCGTCTGCACTAGCAACCATTCTATAAAAGGCTTGGGTAGATGATGTTGGCTCACCATCTAGTGATGGTGGTTGTTCAGCAACCAAATCTTGTAACATATCACCCATACGGTCAACTTCATTTAAACCCTCAATATTAGCAGCTGGGCTATGAACTTCATTGAAACCCTCATTATTAGCTGTTGGGCAATAATCATCATGACTAACATGGCTCTCGCCATGCTCTGTCCAGATTTCGTAGCCTTCTTTAAAACCATATTTACACAAGTGGAGCTCAATAGTATGCCTTTTCAGCTTAAAATAGTTGACACATGGCACAAGGACACTTAATGGTCTCATTCTCAACCACACCGAATAAAGAGAATGCATGATCCAGGAATTCAGTAGTTTGTTCAGTCCATTCACTAGATGGGGCTTTCCCACGCTGCCAACCACTATACATCCATGTGCGTGGCATTTCAATTATCTCTGTGTTTTCAAATATGAAAAATATAATCACTAATTCATACCATGCATGTTGCCTACGTCACATTGTTTCAAAAAAAAAAAAAAGGAGCTTGCATTGTACGACTTCAAAGAGATCCTATCATTCTAGAACCAAGACATTTGCCTACCACAGTTAACAAATCTAAACCGATACAACCACATAACAGCAAAGCAAAACAGAATGTGATTACAGAGTTAATTCAGGTAATATCTTTTTTTGCTTCTAATATCTAGCAAAAAGATACTAAATTCTTACAGAGATAGCCTCCAATAGACAATATTAGTTTAAAAAGGACTTCCACAGGGAATAAAAAAAATACAAGAAGCAGGACATGACATGCCATCATGTGCTTTGATTATTTTCGAGTGGTAAATGATCGAATCCAATCTTTTATCACAATTTTAGACATGAAGCAAGGCATTCAGAAAACCAATACATACAGGATGATGTACATTATTATTGGGTCAGTTGCATCAGTCATCCATGTGCCTAGAATTACCGTGTAATAACTATGTCCAGTGCATACCGGTTAGTGCCTTGTTAGGTAGCAGTGCCAGCTCTATCACAAGTTCACAAAAACATATGAAATGATTTTTTCTCTCGAATGAACATATGAAAAGAATGATCTCAAAATTTTATTAATGTGTCACCAGTTGTTTGCTTTTCCAGTGGAACTTATCGATCAATTTTAAGCTCAAGCACCACAGAATAATAGTGGTGGGCCAGGACTTGAATATAAGTTAAAGATCATCCACGACTGAATCATTTGTGAGATTCCGAACTAAGGCACCATCACGATTAGTTTATCTCGAGCATGACAGGTTCAGGCATTCTCAATTTTTTCTATTACCGGACATAAGCAGTAGCCTCCTTGGCAAGCAGTATTTCTATTTCAGATGCACACATCTGAGCTCAATCAACATGTCAACATCAAAATAAACCAATACCGATTAGGCAATACCAACACACACATGAAACGCTCAACTATATTGCTACTTTGCTAGGCCACAAGTTCAGATGAAATCAGTCTCACAACATTGGGCATATTAATTTCAGATCCAATCGATCCAGAAGTGTTTCAGACAAATCAAATGCACAACCACACAAGAATAATCACACAAGACCGTATCAATTTGCCCTTACCTTGGAGCGGGGCACCGGATATGCTTCACGACGAATGGAGAGGCGGCGACTCCTCCTTCACCATGCACATCTGAAGGGGAACAGAGGGAGATTAGAAGACAGCGGAATGAGCATGAGCCTCACCGTGGTTCAATATTTGGGCTTGTACGGGAAGGAGAAAGAGAGGCCAGATCTCGTGAGCGTCTCACCTCCACCAAGCCTGAGCAAGGAGGAGCACGCCAACGATGACATTGGACAGCAGATGCATGGAGATGACAGACTATGAGCAAGTGATGAACTAACTGGCGAGGACATACCACTCGAGGTCTCGAGGATGGAGACGACGGCGCCGTTCGTGTGGTAGGTCCTAGGCTGGGGACGGGCGGCCGGCTGAGGACGGGACGACGGCGGCCGGAGGTGGAAGGGCCACCAGCCCACCGGGCGGACGGGCCGCCGGCTCCTGGCTGGTGGCGGGCGGACCACCAGCCGAACTGGGCGGGTGGAGAGGCGGACGCTGCGACGGCCGGGAGCTGGGCGGGTGGAGAGGCGGAGGCGGCGACGGCCGAGAACTGGGCGGGTGGAGAAGCTGAGGTGCGACGGACGGGATCTGGGCGGCGGGTCGAGAGGCGGATGCGAGGCTGAGGGCGCTGAGGGATAAGGATAATGTTTGACGATTTTTTTTTGTTCATTCATTGCCTTTTGTTTATCCATTTACCTGCACAGGAGCAAAGCCGCCGAACATTGGCCCGCGAAAGCGAAAAAAGCCCGCGAAGCAAAAACATAGGCGAGAAAATTGGCGCCCTTTGATCCCAAATTACCCGGTGTGCATATAGGTGATTGAAAAATTACGTAACTCACAGGGAATCATAGATAATTATCCTGTGAGCTAATTTCTCTTTGCGTAACACATAAACCGACATGATTATGTCTATTTCCTTGTGAGTTTATAGAACCGGCAGGGTAAATTATGTTTTTCCTGTGAGTTTTCATGCAACCGACAGAAAAATATAGGGCACACAAGAAAAATCTAGTTTTCCAGTAGTGAAACTATCCAGCAATCACCCGAGTGTTAGCACCCAAGGTTAGAGGTCTTTAACGGCTAGTTTTGGCATGTGTCAGTCACCGTTGAGGGTGATTCATGGTAAGCTCTGATAACCCTACCAGAGCTCTCCGATGCTTCCATGAAGGCGTTGAAAAGTTGGTAACGGTTAGTTTCTTGAGTTGGGCTATAAATAGGCTATGTGTTAGGCATATGAGAACTCTAGGACACCCTTGTTGATATACACACACATTAGAGCTCAAGAAATTCCTCACTCACTTTTGCTTGATAGAGATTAGAGTGCATGCTTTGAGAGATATCATCTAGAGGCACTAGTAATTCAATTGCTGTAGGTTTCCTTGTTACTCTTGATGCACTGCAAGAAAAGCTGCCTTAAATGATGAAAATCCTTGTGGCGATAAATATATTATTTATCAAATGTTGTATCTTAATATAACACAAGCATTATGGCATCATAACATCAGAAGCATCACAAATATATACGATGATATCATGTCGTGTGTCACAGAGAGGTACCATGAAATTGTCATAAAACGTAAATCCCAGGGAGGTGCCTATAGCTATAGGATTTATGACAGTTAGTGGTGGATCACTGAATGTTTTATCAAACGTGATGGCCTCAGTCTTCATTGGGAATCAATAGGAGTTGGACCCTTGACCCTTTTCCATTTAGCAGGCAGATCATCTTCCTTTTCTCCCCATCTATGTAGTCCCTCCATTTTCCCCCTCCACACTAACGATGGCCTTTGGGCGGTGGTACGGCACCCGTTGCCCCCTCCCCATAATTAGTGCACTAATAATGTCCTATGAAGTAAAAGAATGATACACATGCTGTAAATATTGTTAAACATTATTATTTAGTTGTTCAAAATTTTCTTCTATCCTCTTTTGAATCACAATTCTCTTGTCCTTAAATAGTTTCCCCCAATTTTTTGTCCTAGCACCACCACCATGTCACTCTCTCCTGCTCAGTTTTTGCTTCTCCCACTTGTTTTTTCTTTCTCCCACTGACCGGACTAAAATTTTGGTAACCACGCATCTCTTTCTCCCACGTTGTTTCTGCCTCAAACAAAAGGGTCCCACACTTCCTTTCACTTGTCTCACTCACCCAAATGAGGTAGCCGTATCTCTTCGTAGTTGTCTGGTTCAAAAATCTATCATCATTCCCAACATCCCAAACAATGGCATCGCCTTGCCTCACTTCACTATAGCGCTGCCACTCGTTGTTGCTCCTAGACTCACACGCCACCACCACTCGCCTCGCCCTATTGCCTCCACTCATTCTCGCTACCCACTTCACCGTATCACCATTCATTGTCACTCCTCACCAAATCATAACACCTTCATGTCACATATCCACATCAACTGTGTTGCCTTCTTCAACCTTGAGAATATCCACTGGATGTCAACCAAGGCAATTTCCACACCAAGCAAGATCTGAGTTACTCAGCCTTATCCCCCCAAATGCATTTGTAGTTCCTTTTTAGGCTTTTGTCACAATCATCAGGTTCTCAATGTTGATTTGCTTCGCTCTTGAAAGCATCTAGGCCTCTAGTTGGGTTTTGGTGATTAATGACAATATATGATTACTATGACTAATGTGTGTTTTGCAGAGGCAATTAAGTTAGGTCATGGTAATGGAAATTGATTGAGCAATCATGGTTGTCATGCCCCTACGATAGAAATCGTTTCAGTTTTCAAAGGATGGACGACAAAGTTAATGATGGACTAATTATAAGTGTCGTTTGGTGTTGAAGAGACACTTAGAGTAGTTTAGGACTTTGTTTTTCCTTAGGCCATACTATAAAGGGGGTATGGACTAGTAAGCTTGACCTAAGTGAGTCTAGTGGGTTAGATGTGGTGCACACTTGTCAAATATAGCACTAGGTATCTCATAAGTAGCCATAAGATCAATTGGAGAAAACTTCATTCACACATGATTGCGAGTTGGAAGTGAATGGAGGGTCAAATGTTGACCGAACGTTGGTTCTGGTGTGACCGGACGCTAGCAGCAGAGTTCGGTCAGTTCATTTGATCAAGTAGAAGTTGTCTGGTGGGACCGAACGCTGAGTGAAAAGCGACCGGACACTGGGTGCCAGCGTCCGGTCAACTCCAGTAATGTTTCAGATGAGCAGTTTTCATGACCGGACGCGTCCGGTCAGTGCTGACCGGATGCTGATCAGAGTCCGGTCACAACTTAACGGCTCAGTGGCGGGGAGAACTGACCAGAGCGTCCGGTCTCCCTGCAGTGGCACATAATGGTTCGTTTTGAACGAGGGTGTATAAATACTTCATCTATTCATTCAAGGGAGTACTCTTGCCCATTTCAATAGCTAAGAAACACCCTTGAGAGTGCCAAGGAGAGCAAGAGCCTAGTGAGGTGATTGAGATTTGAGAATCCAAGATTAAGGTCTCATTAGCAAAAAAGAGAGTAGCAAGTGTGCATCCACCCTTCTCATTAGGTTTGTTGTGGTCAAGTGAGAGTTCTTGCTTATTACTCTTGGTGATCGCTATCACCTAGACGGCTTGGTGGTGATTGGAAGTTTGGTGATCATCCGATGGAGCTTGTGGATGACCCAACTCAAGTTGTGAGCGATTGTGGGTGATTCACCACGATGGAGTGTCGAAGAATCAACCCATAGAGAGCACTTGATCCTTGCGTAGATCAAGGGAAAGCTACACCCTTGCGCGGGTGCTCCAACGAGGACTAGTGGGGAGTGGCGACTCTCTGATACCTCGGCAAAACATCGTTGTGTTCCTCCTTCTTTCTTTACTTTAAGCATTTACTTTGAGCAATTCAATTCGTGTCTTTACATTCATAGAATTGCCATGCTAGAGTAGGATTGAAACTTAGAGTGCTAAACTTTTATGCGGTAGAACATTAGAAACACTTCTAGGCACAAGGGGTGAAGTGGGCTAAGTGTAGGGTTTAATTATTACAAAAAATTTTAGAATTAGCCCAATTCACCCCCCCTCTTAGACATCTTGATCCTTTCAATTGGTATCGGAGCCTCGTGCTCACGTATTTAGGCTTAACCGCCTAGAGAAAGATGTCCTACGGGGATAGACCTCCTCCTATCTTTGAGGGAGATGATTTTCTGTATTGGAAAATTCGTATGGAGGCGTATTTAGAAGCTCTAGATGTTGGAATTCTTAGAGCCGCCTCTCAAGGTTTTCCAAAACCTAGGGATCCCACACACCTTCAAGGCGATGAAGTGAACTACGAAAAATGGAATGCAAAGGCTAGAAACACCATTTTTTGAGGTCTTTGTAAAGATGTGTTTAACCGGGTGAGGAACCACAAAGACGCCCATACACTATGGTCGGATATTTGTATGCTCCATGAGGGAACTAAGAGCGAGCGTGAGGAACGATATCATCTTGTTATGAAAAAGCTTAATTCATTTGAGATGCTTCCAAAAGAAAGTGCTAATGAAATGTACTCACGCTTAAATGTTCTTGTAGAGGAAGTCAATGGGCTTGGACTCACTCAAATGCAACCATCCGATGTTGTAAGAAAAATCTTGAGTGTCCTCCCCATTGACAAATATGGGCATATTGTGACCGTGCTCCATCAAAGTGATCTTTCCACCGCTACACCAACTCAAATCTTGGGAAAGATCAACGCTCATGAGATGTACATGCACATCACACCATAAGATGGCTCATCCTCTACCAAGAAGAAAGACAAAGACTTAGCATTCAAGGCTAGCCAAGAGAAGGGCAAAGCAAGAATTGAGTATGAGAGCTCAAGTGATGATGAAGTTGATGATGCAAGTCTTGCTCTCATGGTGAGAAGAACCGCCAAAATGCTAAAGAAGCTCAACAAGAATGGCCTCAAGTTTGATGGGAAGAAAAAGAAGTTCTTCACTAGCACTAGAAGGAAGCTAATCTCGGAGATGGATTGCTACAATTATGGAGAACTTGGTCATCTAGCACATCAATGCACCAAGCCCAAGAAAGACAAGTACAAGGGCAAGAACGATGACTCAAGTAATGAAGATGAAGATGAGAAGAAGAAAAATAAGCCATATAAGAAGAAAGATGGCAAGAAGAAGGACTTCCACAAGAAGAGGAAAAATGGCAAGGCATACATCGTCGGTGATTGGCTCACGGACATTAATTCATCTAGTTGCTCATCCGATGATGATAGTGACAACGAGAAGGTGGCCGCCATTGTGATTGACTCTTAATCATCTTCACCGACACCACCGCCATCATCCTCT